GTATCATAAACATTTGTTTGACACAGAGATAATATTCTGCAATAATCCAAAATCACACGGAGGAATCCCATTGGACCAGGGAGATGCTGCCTTCAGGGACCAACACAGAAATACGACATCCCTGCACTCTTAATCATTTATTTGATCTTGATCTGTGTGTCTGTTCTCGCAGGATGTTGAGCTGGGTGGCTAAAGTCGTTCCGCAGCCGCCGGAGCCTCCGCCAAAAAATGTTGAAGAGCAGAAGCTGGGGAAACCAGTGGCCACGCCCCCTGCGGTGACTCCTCCCCTTAGTTTAAGCCACGCCCGTTTGTGTTTTGATCACGATTTTATCATTTTCGTTTCATCTCTTATTGCCATCGTAAAAACATATTACATCAAGTGTATTCACACTACAGCCACTACCAGAGTTCCTTTTGTACGCTATCATTCTGGGTCCCTAACCCAAATGTGGAAAATAAAGACAATATGAAAAATAATATTTGAAATTACACTCAAAATGTTTGAATCACACTTTAATGGTTACTTTACTGACTTTAGATATAGAATTTAAATACGTATACATACCTTATAGGTGATATACTGCACATACATTTTTTATATAAAAATATAATACACATTATAAGACTGCATGTATTTGATTTATGCCATTATGCCCGAGGAATACTTGTCAACATTTATTTTAATTGTATAATATTTTATTTTTAATTTATATACATAGCTTATTCCTCTTTAGTGTTTTGTATGCAACAAAGCAAATTACTTTTTAATAATACTTGGCAATAACCCTGATTCTGATTATGTGTTTCATTATGTAAACTTGATATGTTTAATATGAAATCATATTGTGTTTTCAACAGGAGAAGAAAGTGACATTTCTAGATGAGAGCAAACAGCAGGGTAAGACGCACCGTGAACATCTCGTGGTTCAGTGTGGTTTGTGTTCTTCTTGCTAAACAATAACAGTTGTGTTTTATTAACAGCTCAAAAAGATGGCAAACCCAAACAGGAAGTACAGGCGGCGGAGAGCGGGTGAGATGATCTGAGATATACAATGATGTTTAATATAATTATTACTTCATGAAAGATATGCATTGCAATTCAGTTTATGGTCATTTTCCTGTTTGTGTCCCTTTTCATACGTGGGGAGGTTTTGATAAACAGGATTATGAACAAAATAATGTTTTTAGAAATAATATTCACCTGAAATGATATAAAAAATGTATCGTATTGTCTTTATAAATTGAAAATGACAATAACTCACATCAACTTAAATGAATCTCTAGTGTATTAAAGTAGCAAGTATACAGTTTATGTACTGTATTGTATTTATGTTATGTGCCCTTATTTAAATGAACTCCGGATGTTTTGCTCTCAGCCCGGAGCCTGTCGCTCAGTCCGGAGTGTTTACGTGGTTCAACGCCACTTTGCCCAAACCTGCACTCCCACCAAACCTGAGCCCGGCCAACTCTGTCGAGAAGGTAAGGACCAGATACTGACCCAGCACTAGATACTGACCCAGGACCAGATACTGACCCAGGACCAGATACTGACCCAGCACTAGAAACTGACCCAGGGCCAGATACTGACCCAGGACCAGATACTGACACAGCACTAAATACTGACCCAGCACTAGAAACCGGGACCAGATGCTGGCCCACGACAACATATCCACCCAGGACCAGATACATGCCTCAGATTGCTTACTTACCCAAGACCAGGTTCTTACCAAGGACCAGCTACTGACACAGGACCAGATATTAACCATGGGACCAGATACTACACCAGAACCACACTGCCCCAGGACCACATACTGCCCCAGCACAAGATACTTACCCGGATCGCTTACTTACTCGGGACCAGATCCTGCAACAGAGTCGTTCTGTAGGTCCCAATAATATTTGTTGTGTCTTTTCCTTCTTTCCAGGAGGAAAACACAACAACCAGGTAAACATATATATATATATAATATAATAAAGGATATGTGGTTTCAGAGATTATACTGTTTTTATATACACAGTACAGTATAGTGTAAATAAAGGAGGACCAATAACGGATCCCTGTGGTACTCCTTTACTAACTTTGAGAAGACTTAGCTTGAGTTTTTCCAATAAAAATACCATGATTATTGTTAATGATTGCCCGAGGCTTTATTGATATTGTTAAGTCAACACAAAGCAGCTGTGCTATGACAGATTTTGTATTATGTTTATCAAAAATGTGGACTTTATGGTTTCCAGATGTGTTGCAGTGATAAAAGTGTTTTGATGTTTCCTCTGGGTTCCTTCCTCTCTGTAATAACAGTAAACCTGAAGACGAGTGAGTAACGACAGGAAACAGATAGTGCCAAATACTGAGCTGCTTAATAAACCCATTAGCCATATGCTGCCAAATACTGCGATGCTTTAAATACCCATCACCAGGCAAACTGTCAAATACTGAGCTGCTTAATATACCCTATAGGACCAACTCTGCAAATGACTGCCATCAGTTTGCACCGAGATCCTTTATAAATCCACCAATAGGCAAACTGCCAAATACTGAGCCGCTTTAGAAACTCATTAACAAACGGACTAATAGTGAAATAGTGAGCTTGTCTAAATACCCCTCAGCGTGCATACGGCCAAATAGTGAGCTTCTTTATAAACCCCTCAACGTGCATACGGCCAAATAGTGAGCTATGATATAAATCCATCAACCCTGCATAATGCCAAATACTGAGCTGCTTTAGATGCCCATTTGATGGTATATGCCAAATGTGCTAAATAATGAGCTTCATTTCATGTCTCATTGCTGTTTACTACAGTATTTATCATTACGCTGATCATGTGATCTATATTATATTTGTCTCTGTTAGGATAGCTTCTCATCTCCTGAAGAAGAAATAAGTCGTTGTGTTTCTGTTTTCATTTCCCCTCAGGAAAGGGATGATGGCCTGGATCTCTGAGGGTTTGGAGAAAGTCGTTCCTCAGCCCGACCTGAAGAAGGAAACCCCAGCAGAACCTGAGCAGCACACCGAGGTAAAGCTGTTACTGCAGCACAGGAAGTGTGTGAACACACTCCTGTGATATCATACCAACCAGAAAGAGACTAAGAGAATATATTCTACTGGATTTGACGTATAATATTATAGTGCTACTATAATGTGAGTGTGTGTTTCTCCTCAGGTGTCGGTGGCAGCACCTGAAAAACCTGCAGAGCCACAGATCACTGTGGAGGAGCACACTGACAGACTCCTTCCCCCCAGGTGTGTGTGTGTGTGTGTGTGTGTGTGTGTGTGTGTGTGTGTGTCATTTAGACACTTATTTTATGTCATAGACCAAACCGTTAAAATCTCTTCAGCTTGTGTTAACCACAGACCTTATTTCAGGCAAACAACCAAAAACACATTCAGAAAACATTTGACCTCCAGACTCCAGACACAGGAAGTGATGAAGTGCTGACTTATTCCTGCAAAAAAGTCCACAAGTGTTTTTAGAAACAGTCGATACTTAAGCCACACTGAAAACAGAAGTTAATGTGATATTTGAATGTGTGTGTTTATATGTGTGTGTATGTGTGTGTTTATATGTGTGTGTTCATTACAGAATGTTAGACTGGATCAAACAAGGTTTAGAGAAAGTCGTCCCTCAGCCGAAGACAGAAATCATGGAGAGGACTGAAGCTCCTGCCGTATCTAAAGGTCAGCTTGTACTCATCATTACACATGAATACATCTCATACTAATGTTGAGAGTAAATATATGTAACCTGCGTCTACTGATTATTTAAACAGCACCAGAACCGGCTCCAGACACAAAAGCAGCTCCTGAAACTGAGAAGTGAGTACATATTTGTATCTCGGACAAACAAATGTTATGTATTTGAATAATTCAAAGAGGGGAGATCAAATTGTAAAGTAAGAGGGTTATGCTTGTTTATTCTCACCAACAACACAAACAAGATATCCAGGATTAGTTGTCAGTTGTAATACCTTTTCTATAAATGTGTTAATAAAAGTATCCCAGAAATGTGTGAAAAATGTCAATGAAAATGGCCAATAAGTTTAAGGTAAATATAATACAACATTTTGATTACAAATATTTGAATGTCCGAAAAGTATCCCCTTAAATGTGTAAAACTCTTCCAAAATATACCTGGAATGTTTAAAAAATAAACCTATAAAGGACCAGAATCTGTGAAAATGTCTTGCAAATATACCCAAAGATATATGAAGAATGTAAGAAAATGGCAATAACTGTGTGATACATTTACAAAAGCAAAGAAAGTTTAAAGAAATTCCAAAAACTGTACGAAAATGTTTGGAAAATGTTTACACTTTGACATTTAGAGATGAAGGACAAAATACAGATGTGTCCCATTTATTTGCTTATACTTGATAAACGGACTATTTATTATTTAATCATTATAATGTTTCTCTTTTCTATTCGTTAGGTCTTCAAAGGAAGGAGAGATGCAGGCCAAGTAAGTGTTTACGGTTTCCTTGAGTTATTTCACGGGTAAACTCTGATATCTAAAAAGGACTGATCGGAAACAAACCCTTTGAGTGTCTTTGAGCACTGGGAAAAGCTCTATATAAACAATAAAAGATATGACGTATTATTTATCCAGACCATGCTCCATGAAAAACACCCCCTTGAAGAGTTCTGTGCACACATCTTATTACAACTTTAACAACTAAATGTCACCCTTTCATATGCGTTTCATAGGCTTTATTGACATTTGTTTTGCACCTCTGGTTAGATTTTGTTGTTTTAAGAACTTGCAATGACAATAAAGTTGAATTGAATCTAATCTAATTTGTGTAACAGCTTCAATTTAGTTTTTGTTAATAAAAAATGAAAGTCCTCAGGTAGAATCATAACGTTTATAGCATCAGATATTCAGCATGTGCCCTCATCACAAGCAGCCTCAGATAATCCTGTAGATGTGTAATCACTGCGTAAGAGTCTGTCCTGACTCTGGTCTGTTGTGTTGACAGTATTATGGGATGGGTCGGCCGCATGCTTCCTCAGCCTGCTCTGAGGCTGGTGAGTCACGCACACACATTCATCTGCTACGTTTAAATCAAAATGTGGTCATCAGATCATGAATCGGCATCAATGGAGGATAATCAGACGTACACTATACAGATGATTTAAATGCATAAAGCACTTACATGTCATTTCCCCATGTGTTCTCCTGCAGGACGCCGGCTGTGACGAGGTGCAGAACAGTAAGTACATCACAGCTTAAATTATATATTTAATACTAATTTTAGAGTCTGCTGAGCACCATCCTCTAATCAAATATTTTAGAGTCTAATACCACTTAGTTTTTAATAAACTTAACCTATGTACAGGTCCTGGGCAGAAGCTACTTCCCATGCATTTGGACTGAAAACTGTTCACAACTGATGCTGAAAAGTAGCTGTTAATTTGGACAGAAATACCGTGTTCAGATAAAACCTTTGCAAATATTTTGTCAGTCAAACGTTGGCTGACCCTGAAGGATTTCAGTCCTGATTTATTTGGCCAGCTTTATTTAATGATAAAATCGGTAAATGTAGTTTAATCTCCCAGAATACAGAACGAACACTACGCATTTCCTGTGACTACTTCACAATACAAGTCATTCAGATGCTTTTAATGTGAAGCTTTAGCAGGATATACTTTACAGTACTTTAATCCATTGTTTTATGTAGGTAGTAGCACTGCAAGTTCATAAATATTGCAATACTTTCATCATGTAAAACCTTTGAGATTGACGCTTTAATTTACATTTTTTTTATTTAAAAAAACTACAGCCGTTGTTTCTGCTGACCGTTGATACAGCCACAGTTTGCAACAGCACGCTCATTGGTTGATTGATTGATGAGTTGATTGGTTAATTGGTGGGTTTGTTGGTTCATTGATTGGTTGGTTGGTTAATTGATCTTTTGATGGGTTTTCTTAGCAGCTGTGCTTTAGCCTGGTTGCTGCGGTGCTGAGCGGACTTTAACTCGGCTGCTCTTCTCCTTCTGTTTCAGGAGGATAAGGCGGCAAGAGCCCCTTAAAATAAAAGGAGAAGGGAGTCACACTGACAGCAGCTCACTTTAACTGAAGGACAGACAGACGTTTATAAAACACTGACTCCATAAATCAGGCCTGTAGCGTCTCCACAAAGCTGCAGCAATTTCAATTTCTGCAAGGCTTTGATGAATTGACTTGATATTACTGAACAAAAGATCGGGACAATGATTGCATGAAATGTACTTTAATTAGATTTCTTCAGATTTCTCTCTGATGTTGCCAATGATGAACACGCAGTGTTAATCTGCATGCTGCAGTAGAGCTACCGCAGGACAGACTTTATACCGGGAACTCCATAAGCTTTTAGAAACTGAAATGTTGACTTTTTATAGTGCAGGACAACTTCGGGGTTTTCTAAGCTTTTGCAGCTAATTCAATGCTAACTTTGAAAATTGTTAAAGCATTTTGCTCTTTGTTTATGAAAATAAAGAAATGTAATAGAACGTAACACTTTGTTGAGTGTTTTTTTGTTCATTGGTACAACAGAACATACAGGGAGTGTTAAACTATCAATAAACCAATCAACCAATCAACCAATCAACCAATCAACCCTTCTACCAAACATCTGTTGTCCCATCATGTCCAGACATGTACGGTTGTACCTGTAGGCGTGTTTTATAAACGGTGGATGTATTGCAGATGCATTAGATGTCATGCTGTGTGTTTGTATTTTGAATTCCTCAAAGTTATTTTATCAAAATGAACCACACACACATGTTTCTCCTGCCGTGTGGCGTACAGTCAGCATCGCGCAGAAGGAGAGCAATCTGGTGCTGGAGGACGTGGAAGAGGACGTGGAAGAGGACGTGGAAGAGGACGTGGAACAGGACGTGGAAGAGGACGTGGAACAGGACGTGGAACAGGACGTGGAACAGGACGTGGAAGAGGACGTGGAAGAGGTAGTGGAAGAGGAAAAGGACGAGAACATTGACGACAAGCAGAATGAGAAGAAGGTGAGAGAGGAGTCACAGAACAATAACAACCGCTTATCTTGATGCAATCATCTTTGATATCTAAGTTATTATTTCATATCCATGCCTTACTCTACACCGGGGATTATTACTTAGTTCTGGTTTTGCACATCATCTTTAATCAGCAGAAAGCAAGCTGTGGATTTCATTTCAATCATTCGTGGTCTAGAAAGGATCCTTCTAAAAATAAACACAGAATGCCTTGTAAAAAAACTACTCGAATTGACCTGAAATTCTTCTTGATCAACATGGCTTGCTAACAGGCTAATGGTAGCATTTTCTACATCCAATAGTAGACATGCGTGTAAATTGTTAACTAGAGTCAACTTGGAAGAGTACCATCGTAGTACACAAGTAGTTAATGTGTTCCCTAATAAGACGGGTACTATGTCCTTTTGTAGCGTCTGCACCATGGCTCTTTAGAGGGTACGATGCTAGACCAGAGCAGGTACAATAGAGCTTCAGTTACAAAGGTACAAGGAAAGGTAAAAAACAGTGTAGGTACCTTGGTTTATCACAGAATACTGTGGGAAGGGGTACTAAGGGAGTTCCAGAGTAGTTCAAATGTCCCTCTAAAGCAGGGGTGGGGAACCTTTTTCCTCTCAAGGGCCATTTCAATTTTTACAACATCCTCCGAGGGCCGTACAAATTATTGACCTCTGCTTAAAAAAACTAAAATCACAGCCCATTCATTTCTCCTTTCTTTCATGCTGTGCAAAGAAACAGCAACCTCTTAATCCAGATATCTTACCATGACTCGTGCATGCACGTGCACGGTGTGGCATGACCACCACAACAGAAAGATATGGACACAAGATGTGTGCAAATGTATTTAGTTTCCTATCCATGTGGACATGATTTAAGTGGGGGGCGGACCTAACCTCCTCTAGGGGGGTCCGGGGGGCATGCTCCCCCGGGAAGATTTGTTTTAAATGTTGAAGTTAAAAACATCAATCTGGTGCACTTTGAGAGCAACATTAGGAGATCTATGGATACATCTCTCAACACCTATATGAAACAGAACTGTAAACAGATTTTCTTTTTCTTTATGGATATTTTACAAATCACTCTCCTTTCAAACTGTATTCTTGTTTATTAATAACAACTTTTTTTTACTGTCATATAGTATTTTATACCTGTTTACTTTATTCTCTTGTTTTTTGTATAACTATAATGATCATATAAAGATGTGCCTTTACCTCACTGGTTGGAGAAAAAGCTTCTTATATTCGTTAGCATAGCTAGCTAACCAGATGCTAATAACAACAAAGTTATTGACAGTATGATCAGTATGACAGATGAACAGATCTCCACTGGGCTTTCAACTAAAGACACAGCCACGCAGAAACTGCGGCATGTGTACGGCTCCTTATGGGTACTGACATTTCTGAGTGCCGGAGCGCCGTTCTGGTGCTCTCCGTCAGAACTACACCCCTGTCAGACGAGACATCTACCACGTGATGACACGTTAGGCTTGTGTTGTGTTCAAGGACCCTGACCTTGGCCAGGAAAAACAGGCACTCGCTTGTTTAATTATTTTGCGATCTAGGTTTCTTTAATTTTTTGCGTGTGTTTATAAATTACCTCGAGGGCCGTATAAAATGGTCTCGCAGGCCGTATACGGCCCGGGGCCGGAGGTTCCCCACCCCTGCTCTAAAGGGTACCATGGTACTAACTTGGTGGATATAGAGTTTTGGCTTGGGAAACTATGCTCTAATACCCCTCAAAGTTCTACCAGGATAATTATATATGGTAGACTTCATGTTGGAGGGTTGTTCATGGTAATACCAGAACATCATTTGGCTGAGAGGCATAGATTTAGATCTGTAGATGTATATGTTTCCCTGACACAAAAACATCGGCAAAGGCTAAATTGTTACTCTAAACATCTGTATTGACATCTGAGACATCAGTGCATACCTACAGTAACTGATATTTTAAGAAAGGTGCTAAAATAGTACTCTTGAAAATGTTAAATCCTGTGGATAGTTGGAAAGCAGAAACGCAGAGACCCAGGTGGATCAATCCCCTGATCAATCCCCTCCAGTGATCGACAGCGTCAAGGAGGAGGCTGAAGAGGCGGGTCAGGACAACGTGGAGGAAAGGTCAGTGACGACTTCCTCTGGATAAATGACTCCCTTCTTTCTGTCCAACAAGTGCACTAAGAATGAAAATGTTTACTGATTGTTGCTTTAAAAAGTTTGGTCGAAGGAAGACATCTCAGCGACTGAAGGCCGTTCTTATTGTCAGATGTCATTAATGGTGCAGCTTCTCTGGGACACTTGCATGGTTTCTTTCAAAAGTGTAACTACCTTGAATATTGTTGAGTATCTGAGCTCTTCGCTGTGTTACAGGCTTCAGCAGCACCAGCTGGAGGAGGCTCGCGTCGCAGAGGAGATCGCCAGGATGGCAGCGGAGGAGGCCGTCCGGCAGCTGGAGGCGGAGCAGTCGGTTAAACTCGTTGTAGAGACAGTGCCAGTGTGCAACGAGCCGTAAGTCACAAAACAGCACATTTATACACACACTGTCCAGTTGAAACCCTGTGTCTCAAACACTCAGCTTTCTATAACTGACAAAGAAGACCCTTATTATGAGTCTGCATCTCAAGTAAGTATTTCAACACATAGGCTGATTCGTTTTCTGTTTTAGGAGAGGCTTTATCTGAAAGAAATTCACTTTGAGACGAATAATACTTGCACATACACTAGGTTTTCAGGGAAAAACACACATCATACACACTGATCTGAGACACTGTCTTGCTGCTTGTTCTCTACAGACTACCCAACATCCAGGAGGAGGAAAACGAGGAACCAAAGTAAGTCCATCTTCATGAAACACACACCAGCGCCCTCTCTATTTGGAGTTCCTGTTCCTAACAAAGCCCAAAGGAAGACTGGCAGTCTTTGAAGCAAATCTTCGTAGTGGCCAAACGGTGGAATTACAACGTTCTGGTCACGTGACACCATGGTGCTCAGAGAGGCATTTACTATTGAAGAAGAGGAGTGTTTAAATCAGAGATCTTACTTTCCTACTGAGCTTTCATTGAGCATTTGGGGGCTGTAAAAACCTTGTCAAGAAATGTAGGATATCATCAATTCTGTTGTGTTTATTCGCCTTGTCTTGTTCGAACCTACTTGATCTATTTTGTTGACTTGTAGTAATTTGCAACTCCTCTTAATTGTGCTTTACCTACTGTAATTGAACACACCTTATCAGTGATACAAGCCAATCAGTTAAGTTCCAGCACCAGGTCAGAAGGATCAGATCTTCAGGAGGTGTATTCTGCCCATCTTCTTCACCAGGAGTCTGAAGGAGGTCAGTCCAGCTGAAGAAGAGACTCCTCCTCCGTCAACTCATGTGGAGCCGGCATTGGAGAAGAAAGATCTGGAAAGTCCCGAACAGATCATCCCACAACCAGAGTCACAACCTCCAGAAACCCCCCCCACAGTCCAGGTGATACAGAGTCTTTAGATCCGGCAACAACTCCTCACTGTTCCTGTCGATCTGTGTTTCAAGAAGACATTGACAACGCAACAGTTTGAGGATAATTCTAGTTAATTATGATTATAACTAATTTATCTTTCCATCATTACTATCAGTTATAATATCATTGTAGTCACCAGGTTGCCTAATGTGTGCAGAGTAACTGTTACTGATGGAAGTGATGGACAACATGGGTATTCTTTAACTTTTGAAGAGCACATTTGCCAATAAATGCTTAACCAGTAAAGAGGAAACACCTGTTAATGATATCATCTGTCGGGGTCAGGTGTTATATTGTTTTACAGATTAACATCTGATTGATATTTGTCGTTTAATGCTTCACCATTGGATTGACCTATTTCAAAGGCCTTTCTGTACAATCAAATGAATGTTTTGTATAAAGTTCAAATAAACTATGATACTGTACTGTGAAAGGAAATCAAATATAGCTTACTGTAGTTCAAATTATAAAAAGGTATAACCTAAAACACTAGTGTAAATAGGCTCCTAAGCCACGGATTGGCAGTGCTTTAATCGCATTTCTGCTCTTTGAACAAGCCTGAAAATGTATGTTTTTTCTTCTTCTTTAGGTCGAAGCTGCAGAAAGTGAATGTGGAGGTAAGGACAGGAAATATGATCTCAAACCAGCCTCATCACTCATGAATAACACAGGCGAGAATAGATAGCTTTAGTTTCTGGTTTCTCTACCAATCTTTTAGAATAAGGTTTATTTTGTATTTAAATGTTCAATGTAAACGTTCCTTGAATCTTGACTGCTTTTACCGGGGTTATTATTCAGCAGCTGACTAGTTAGCTAGTTAGCTTGTTAGCTTGCTAATGGCACCATGCTTTTATGCTACACTAGTTTCAGAAATAAGGGTCTGCTATAGCTAATTAATGTTCTAATTTACATCTGATGAACATTAAATTCCTCATAAGATAAGATAAGATGAGAAGTACTTTATTGATCCCAATTTGGGATATTTTTGGTAGCAGTCAAACAAATGCGTAGTTTGTCAGCCTATATTTTTACATGGAGTTTATATTAGCATGTAGCTGTATATTTAAAAATCCCCCGGTCTCTGTAAACGTATGAATCTTCCTTGAATCTTGACTGTTTTTACCAAGGTTATTATTCAGCAGCTGGCTAGTTAGCTTGCTAGCTTGCTAATGGCACCATGCTTTTATATTACACTGGTTACAGAAATAATGGTCTAGTTAGATAATTAATGTTCTATATTAGATCTGTTATTTATTGGTAGCAATCAAACAAATGCGTAGTTTGTCAGCCTATCTTTTTACATGAAGTTTATATTTACTTAGCTGTATATCTAAAGATCCCCTGGTCTCTGTAAACGTTTGAATCTTGAAATGTTTCTCCATGCAGTTCCAGAGGTTTGTATCCCGATAAAGAGCTTTCTGCTTCGGTTCTCGCTCGCTGCTGAGTGCCTGGAGCGCGGCAGGAAGTTGATGCACGACCATAACCTGGCCCTCCCCACGCTGTCCATGCCGACCCCCCCTCTGGATCTCGCCATGCTGACCCAGGAGCTGCAGCAGCTTTCCTCACAGGCGCGGCAGTGCTGCACGAGCATCGCTAGCCGCTTAGCACGCCTTAACTCCAACTCCCAGCATCCTCAGCAGCCTTAGCCCCGCCCTCCTCCTGCAGCAGACCCTCTAGAGAAACCTTATAGTCGCCTCATTGGAAGTAGATAGAAAAAACCTTTAACGTGCCAAAATAAACCAGTGGTTCCTTATTATCGGCATCACTCCCATCATGCACTGCTGCTCTGCACGGCTACACCACGAACTAAACAGGTGATCCTACAGGAAGTGGATGTTTGTGATACTGTTGTAGCTTTTTCTATAAAGTGGTGCAGGAACGAATTATAAAACCCATAGCGCCAAGGGATCCTGACTTAACGTCAATATAGGACGAGTTGGGAGTGAGAACGTGTATAAAAACTGATTTTAATTCATGCATGTTCTCACTAGAGTTAGTTATGATAACATGATAACTACACTATATAGACCAAGGTATTGGGACACTCGTCTTAATCATTGAATTCAGGTGTTTCATTCAGTCCCATTGCCACAGGTGTATAAAATCAAGCACCTAAAACATGGAAATGTGTCAGCTTTATGCCACTTCCTGTCCACTGGTCTGGAGGTCAATAGTTTCCTGAATGTGTTTTTGGTTGTTATTCTGATTTAAGGTCTATGGTTAACACAAGCTGAAGAGATTGTTACCTTTTGTTCTACAACATAAAATACGTCAGTAACGCTGCATAAAAGTAATGTGGTGTAAATATCGTTGTATCATTGGTCCTACAGTTACCTTCCTATAATGTAACATCAGTCTGTTCAGAATTAAGTTGTTATTTAACTAATTTATCAGCTGGCTAGGTAGCTTGCTAGCTTGCTAATTGCACCATGCTTTCACACTACCCTGGTTACAGATATAAGGGGCTGCTAGATAGATAATTCACTACCACTGAATTCATCAAATTCAGTGGTAGCAATCAAACAAATGTAGTAGATCAGAAAGTATTACATTTGTCTCTGAGATGAAGAGTATCTCAGAGACAAATATAAAGTACCTCAGAATGCAGACGTTCCTTGAAGTCCTTCAGTGTTTCTGCTCCGTCCTGCAGGAAGCGGTGCTCAGGGTTTGGGTGGAGCTCCAGTGCTGAGGGTGGAGGATGTGGACTGGGAAGAAGGGCAGGAAACAAACCTGAACATCCCCCAAATTATCACAACTCTAGAACCAGAGCTCAGCGCCCCTATGTCACACCTCAGGTAACAGACATTTCCATCTGCTGCTGACAGCCTTAGTGATGTGTGTGATCGGTTTAGTGTCTGGTGTGTGGTGGAAGAAGTCCTCAGATATTGTACTGCAGTAGAAGTGGTGATACCAGAGTGTAATAAATAAATAAAGACATAACTACTGATATGAAATGTGTATGTCAGTATAGTAATGTAAAGGTGAATGGGTGAGCATAATGTGTATTAGGTGTCGTATGCCAAAACAAAGGTATGACCAAGTGAAAGCCAGAATGAGTGGTTGGCAGGAAGGAGTCCAGGAGAGAGAGAGAGAGAGACTCTGGAGCGGGGATTTAAGTGGTGAAGGAATGAGTCCTAAACCCGGACATAAGTCAGCGGTGGTGACGTGAAGTCATGTGACCGAGCTGTAGTGCCTTTATAGCATAATGTTAGCTTTTTAATTCAGAAACCATAAAGTGGTGTTATTATGTGGAGATTATCCTGCTGGACAAAACATTTGTTTTCCACGGAGATTATTTTCTGACATAATCCAAAATCACATGGAGAAATCCTATTGGACCAGGGAGATGCTGCCTTCAGGGACCAACACATAAATACAACATTCCTGCACCACTATATCACTGGTGCTCTGAGTCTGTGTTGTCTGTCTTTAGGGACAAAGCAAATACATACAGTCATGAACTTCTTGTATTTATGTCTCAATGTGTTTATGTCTCCTCAGCGCTGCAGGTGAGGAAGATGATGCAGTGATGAAGGCCGATCGAGAGGACAATGAGTGAGAGAAACTACACACACATACAAACACGCCGAAGCTGCCTTTAGTTTTTCAGCTCCCCACAAATGAACAAACTTCCAGAAACCCTGAGGTCTTCTTCACCAACGCTGAGTTCCTTTAAGTCAAATCTAAAAACATGACTTCTTTAAGCTGCTTACTCAAAAGTCTTTTGACTTGTTTTAGCACATACCGTATTTACAATGTTGTTTTAGCACCATCTCTTTTACGCATGGTTTTTATGAATCTGTTATTCCATTGTGTTTATTTATTGTGTTGTCTTCTTCTTAAGTGTTAATGTTAATGTAAAGCACTTTGAATTGCCTCTGTGTCTGAAAATGTGCGATATAAATAAACATACCTCACCTTACCACATACAGTGTCAAAGACAACAAAAAACAGGTGTGCAATTTTTTTTGAAAAATAACAATAAGACAAGATTAATAGTACAAAAACATTTAAAATTATAGACAAACAGATGGTTGAAAACAACAACAACAACAACACATAATCTGTCCTCCATGTTGACTCTTGCTGTCTTCTGTCCTCCATGTTGTCTCTTGCTGTCTTCTGTCCTCCATGTTGTCTCTTGCTGTCTTCTGTCCTCCATGTTGTCTCTTGCTGTCTTCTGTCCTCCATGTTGTCTCTTGCTGTCTTCTGTCCTCCATGTTGTCTCTTGCTGTCTTCTGTCCTCCATGTTGACTCTTGCTGTCTTCTGTCCTCCATGTTGACTCTTGCTGTGTCTTCTGTCCTCCATGTTGACTCTTGCTGTGTCTTCTGTCCTCCATGTTGTCTCTTGCTGTCTTCTGTCCTCCATGTTGACTCTTGCTGTCTTCTGTCCTCCATGTTGACTCTTGCTGTCTTCTGACCTCCATGTTGACTCGTGCTGTCTTCTGTCCTCCATGTTGACTCTTGCTGTCTTCTGACCTCCATGTTGACTCTTGCTGTCTTCTGTCCTCCATGTTGACTCTTGCTGTGTCTTCTGTCCTCCATGTTGACTCTTGCTGTGTCTTCTGTCCTCCATGTTGTCTCTTGCTGTCTTCTGTCCTCCATGTTGACTCTTGCTGTCTTCTGTCCTCCATGTTGACTCTTGCTGTCTTCTGACCTCCATGTTGACTCGTGCTGTCTTCTGTCCTCCATGTTGACTCTTGCTGTCTTCTGACCTCCATGTTGACTCTTGCTGTCTTCTGTCCTCCATGTTGACTCTTGCTGTGTCTTCTGTCCTCCATGTTGACTCTTGCTGTGTCTTCTGTCCTCCATGTTGTCTCTTGCTGTCTTCTGTCCTCCATGTTGACTCTTGCTGTCTTCTGTCCTCCATGTTGACTCTTGCTGTCTTCTGACCTCCATGTTGACTCTTGCTGTCTTCTGTCCTCCATGTTGACTCTTGCTGTCTTCTGTCCTCCATGTTGACTCTTGCTGTCTTCTGTCCTCCATGTTGTCTCTTGCTGTCTTCTGTCCTCCATGTTGACTCTTGCTGTCTTCTGTCCTCCATGTTGACTCTTGCTGTCTTCTGTCCTCCATGTTGACTCTTGCTGTCTTCTGTCCTCCATGTTGACTCTTGCTGTCTTCTGTCCTCCATGTTGACTCTTGCTGTCTTCTGTCCTCCATGTTGACTCTTGCTGTCTTCTGTCCTCCATGTTGACTCTTGCTGTGTCTTCTGTCCTCCATGTTGACTCTTGCTGTCCTCTGACCTCCATGTTGACTCCTTTGTGTCCTCTGTCCTTCAGGATGCGTCCTCCGTCCTCACCGGGCGTGGGCAGCGTGTTGCTTCAGGAGCGTCTGCTGCAGCTGGTCCAGATGTTCAAAGGTCGAGCGGAGCGTCAGAAGGAGCGTCTTCTGGACCTGGACGAGTCCGAGGAGGACAGTCCTCCAGCCAGTGAGTGAGGGGACGATTGTCCTTTATATAGATTTATTTATATACGTCTCTCACGTGTTTCCTCTGGTTATCATCGTGTTTTTCTCCGAGGTGTTGAATGTAAACATTTGAGTGTAAAGTTTTCTTGCTGAAACTGTTTTAATATTTATCTCTTTTCCTGAAATTCAGATTATTTTCCTCGCATTGAGGCAGAAATGTGTGGAAAATATGTATATTATTCTTAGTCTTTATAGTCTTTATACGTAAAGATAAATGCTCATTGTTAGGTCTTAATGTTGAATATAAATGTTTAATGCTAAATCTATATATTTAATCTTTATTTTAGTTTAATTATACATGTTAAAATCAAAATGTAATGTTATATTTTTTCAATTGAAATATGAAATGTAAATGGTTAATGCTAAATATCAGGTTTCATTACATTTACATCTAAATGTTTAAATATTAATTAGAAACATTCATATATATATCTTAATCTAAACAGTAAATGTTGAATGCAAAGTCTGATTATTAAATGTTCTTAATCTAAATGTTACCTTTTTCAAATCAAATTGTGCATCAGTTTCATTTCATTGAACTTTCTTTTTCTGTAAAATCAGAACATATCAGATATCTGTATAATAATGTAAAATGATGAAGTGATGACTCTGTCTGATGTCTGCAGCTCCGAGCAAAGCCCCCCCTCCTCCTCCTCCTCCTCCCCCTCCTCCAGAGGACCCGCCTGCAGAAGAAGATGAAGATGAAGATGAAGATGAGAAGGAGGAGTTTTTTCTCCCATTTGACATTTTGGGACATCCGGTGAAAATCCCCAAACTTCCCGTGATGCCGGACTGGCTCCGAGCCGTCGCTGCGTACCGCTTCCCCTCCAGCATCGACCAATTCACCGGTGAGAGCCACACGCATGAAGATCAACTTTCATCATACAAGTTGTTTTGTTTCGCAAAGCTTAAATTACACCGTAGTTGTTTCTATGTTATAGCAATACACCTTGAATCTTGAATCTGTTTGTTTTCATAAACAACAGTGACCTTATTCTGACCTACAGTTTAAAGGGTCCACATTTTAAAAAGCTAATAAATGAAATGATAAAAGCGATCACAGCAACATGAACTGTGTCATCTGCATAGATAACACATGACAGATCCTAATGAGAGGCATTGTTGCTTTGTCTGGCATCTCATCTTTCATTTAGTTGTTGGCACTCAATCCTTTTTGTACTACAGCGTCACATGTACTCTCCTCATTTAAAAGTTAAAGGCAAAAGGGCCCCAGTATTAAGCCCTGAGAACCCCCACATTTAACTCTATGGCCTTTCTGCTTCTCTTACAACTTTCTACTCTTCAACAATTTTAATTCTTCTCTTATTCATTTTCTTCTCTCTAAAAAACAACAACTTTCCACTCTTTGCCTCAAACCGTCTTCCCAGATGATTTTCTACTGTTTTTCAATCACTTCCTTTTCGGTTCCAAAGACTTTCTATTCTTCTCTAAAAACATTCTACTCTTCTATAGCATCTTTCTACTCTTTAACAACTGTCCAGTCTCCAACAATTGTACATTTGTCTATCACTTTCTATACTCTTACCCGACAACTTTCTTCTTTTCTTCAACAACTCTCTACTCTTCTTTAAAAACGTTTGACTCTTCTCTGATAACTTTCTGTTCTTCAAAAGCGTTCTGCTGTTCTATAAGAACGTTCTACTCTTTCTTCACTCTTTATCATTGTCCTCATCAACTGATTTCTGCATACCTCCAAACAGCGTCTGACGTAGTTGGAGTTCTAGTTGAAAAGTCACTTTTCCCCCACCTTGCATTAAGGCAAGGCAAGTTTATTTATAGAGCATCTTTCAACACAAGGCAATTCAAAGTGCTTTACAAGAATGAAAGACATTAAGAGCATTTAGAGATAGATCAGTGGAAACACGTTATAAAATTACATTTAAAAACAGTCATTAAAAAGCAAAGATAATATGAATAGCTCAATTAAAAGCAGCGACAAAAAGAAAAGTCTTCAGCCTGGATTTAAAAGTAGTCAGAGTTGCAGCGGACCGGCAGGTTTCTGGGAGTTTGTTCCAGATATTTGGAGCACAATTAATGAACTTCTCCATGTTTAGTTCTGATTCTGGAGACAAATGAAGCTGGTTTGTCTCTTCAGATCTGATCTATGTGATCTGGCTGTTCTTCGTGGTGGCGGCGTGGAACTGGAACGTTTGGTTGATCCCGGTGCGCTGGGCGTTCCCGTACCAAACCGCCGCTAACGTCCACCTGTGGCTGCTGGCCGACTACACCTGCGACTTCATCTACATCACCGACATCCTCGTCTTCCAGCCGCGCCTGCAGTTCGTCCGCGCAGGAGACATCGTGGTCAGTGAGCTACAGAAGAAAGAAATGCAACATTTGTATTTAAGTTTAAAACATGGGGGGTTCAACAAGAGGAAGTTCTGAGTCGTTCTCATGGGGGACACCAAATTATGCTTTTTATTAGATTTTAGAAAATACAAATGAATATGAATCCAACATACACACTAACATTTCAACTAAAATTATGGGTTATAATATTAACACGTACATGGGTTAATTCCTCTTATAGTCAAATCTTTATAAATGTTATTTAAAATAATTCATAAAATGCTTTGCATATGTAAAACTAATCCAAAAACAACAAGAAATTCTGAAGATTTAAAATGTATATATTATAAACACATAAACACATTTTAAAAAATCGGAATAAAACAAATATATTTTAAGGAGATTTTATTGGTCTATGAAAATGTATAGAAGGAGAACATTTAAAGTTCAATAAAACAACTTCTTTAAAAAAAACTGTAAACTAAAATGTGTCTACAACGTTAAACTATAATTAAAACTTGTCAGCATTGTTAATATTAAAAGTCTGTGTCGTTTATTTGCTAATAAATCGTAGGCCTTTCACATGAATGTTAAACACGTAAACATAATATGAATCTGTAAATAAAAGTTATTTTTCATGCAACATAAAAAAGTATATTTACAGATATGACTTTAGATTTAAGAACATTTTAAATAAAGAGGCAACCACAGGTTAATTAAACCAGGTAAATGGTTGTTGGCCAGAAACATTTTGAAGACTCCTTATTTATCACAAACAACTTTTTTTTAATGTGGAACTTTTTTATTTCAGTGTGACAAAAAAGACATGAGAGAAAACTACATGAAGACGGAGAGATTTAAGGTAAGATCCAAAGATTCAAATCTTTCTCAAACTCTTTTCTTGGGGTTTCTAACACCAACAATTAATAATACACATTATTTATACTTATGTCTCTAAGGTTGATCTATTTTTATGGTTAAACATGAAAACTTATTATCTAACTCAATTGGGCGGCAGGCTCCGTCTGTAGTGGTTTGGGAACTGAAGGGTCGCTGGTTCAAGTATATATATACATATATAAATATACAGAGTGTGGACTGGTAGCTGGAGAGGTCATTGAGCACTGAACCCCAAAATGCTCCATGGTGCTTGAAAACTGGCCGCCTCCTCCCTTTGCCACCTCGCTAACAATGCATGTGTTTGTGTCATATGCGTGTGTGTATTTCTTCTTCTTCCTCTTGTCATTGTCCGTGTGTCTTCAGATGGACGTCCTCAGTCTGTTTCCCCTGGAGATTCTTTACTATTTCACCGGAGTGAACTCCCTGCTCAGATTCCCTCGTATGCTGAAGGTCCGCCGGTTTCTATCTTTATGCATTTCCCGATTGTTAAAGATGAAATATTGACTCTCTCCTCTTCCTCCTCTCTCAGTACATGGCTTTCTTTGAGTTCAACGACCGAATGGAGGCCGTGATGAAGAAAGCGTACATCTACAGGTGAGGTTTCAACTCTAATAACCGACCCAAACTCAACACCAGTTTGTGCAATGGTCACAGAATATGATCTACTGTTTGTGTGCATGTATGTTGATTTTACCCTTTTCTCGTGCCACAGAACACGATTTACAAAATTATTTATTTTAATTGGAAGTATCTTTTTTTACCTCCACCAATGTTCAAATACAATTATTTAGAAAATCTTACTTTGTGTCATCTTCTCATGTTTTCCTCAAAGAATTCCATTTTTGGTTTTCTCCTTCACGTAATAAAACAAAAAACAAACTGGCACCTTATTGTTTATATTTAGTTATATTTGAACTCTTCTTTGTACTACCCTTTCAACTTTTATCTTATCTTATCCTGTCTTATATAAAGATTAAAGGAAAAGAGGCCCCAGTGTTGATCCCTGAGGAACCCCACACATGTTTTTCTTTCAGTGCATGTGTGCGTGTGCATTCACTTAACTGAATCTTGGTCCTTTGTTGTTGTTGTTGTTATTGTTATTGTTGTTGTTGTGTGTCAGGGTGATCCGGACCTCCACCTACCTGCTATACTCTCTGCACATCAACGCCTGCCTCTTCTACGTGGGCTCCGACTACGAAGGACTGGGCTCAACCAAGTGGGTCTACGACGGAAAAGGCAACGCGTAAGTCACTATCTTTATATAAAAATACTGATTTAGGTTATGTACAATGTTTCAGTCTGTTATTTTGGATTTAGTGTCTCTACTTTAAAGAGTCCTCTCCTGCTGATGTTCAGGTGTATATCAGTATGTAGTGTCTCTACTTTAAAGAGTCCTCTCCTGCTGATGTTCAGGTGTATATCAGTATGTAGTGTCTCTACTTTAAAGAGTCCTCTCCTGCTGATGTTCAGGTGTATATCAGTATGTAGTGTCTCTACTTTAAAGAGTCCTCTCCTGCTGATGTTCAGGTGTATATCAGTATTTAGTGTCTCTACTTTAAAGAGTCCTCTCCTACTGATGTTCAGGTGTATATCAGTATGTAGTGTCTCCACTTTAAAGAGTCCTCTCCTGCTGATGTTCAGGTGTATATCAGTATGTACTGTCTCTACTTTAAAGAGTCCTCTCCAGCTGATGTTCAGGTGTATATCAGTATGTAGTGTCTCTACTTTAAAGAGTCCTCTCCTGCTGATGTTCAAGTGTATATCAGTATGTAGTGTCTCTACTTTAAAGAGTCCTCTCCTGCTGATGTTCAGGTGTATATCAGTATGTAGTGTCTCTACTTTAAAGAGTCCTCTCCTGCTGATGTTCAGGTGTATATCAGTATGTGGTGTCTCTACTTTAAAGAGTCCTCTCCTGCTGATGTTCAGGTGTATATCAGTATGTAGTGTCTCTACTTTAAAGAGTCCTCTCCTGCTGATGTTCAGGTGTATATCAGTATGTAGTGTCTCTACTTTAAAGAATCATCTCCTGCTGATGTTCAGGTGTATATCAGTATGTAGTGTCTCTACTTTAAAGAGTCCTCTCCTGCTGATGTTCAGGTGTATATCAGTATGTAGTGTCTCTACTTTAAAGAGTCCTCTCCTGCTGATGTTCAGGTGTATATCAGTATGTAGTGTCTCTACTTTAAAGAGTCCTCTCCTGCTGATGTTCAGGTGTATATCAGTATGTAGTGTCTCTACTTTAAAGAGTCCTCTCCTGCTGATGTTCAGGTGTATATCAGTATGTCGTGTCTCTACTTTAAAGAGTCCTCTCCTGCTGATGTTCAGGTGTATATCAGTGTGTAGTGTCTCTACTTTAAAGAGTCCTCTCCTGTTGATGTTCAAGTGTATATCAGTATGTCGTGTCTCTACTTTAAAGAGTCCTCTCCTGCTGATGTTCAGGTGCATATCAGTATGTAGTGTCTCTACTTTAAAGAGTCCTCTCCTGCTGATGTCCAGGTGTATATCAGTATGTAGTGTCTCTACTTTAAAGAGTCCTCTCCTGCTGATGTTCAGGTGTATATCAGTATGTAGTGTCTCTACTTTAAAGAGTCCTCTCCTGCTGATGTTCAGGTGTATATCAGTATGTAGTGTCTCTACTTAAAGAGTCCTCTCCTGCTGATGTTCAGGTGTATATCAGTATTTAGTTACCTGATGTTCAGGTGTATATCAGTATGTAGTGTCTCCACTTTAAAGAGTCCTCTCCTGCTGATGTTCAGGTGTATATCAGTATGTACTGTCTCTACTTTAAAGAGTCCTCTCCAGCTGATGTTCAGGTGTATATCAGTATGTAGTGTCTCTACTTTAAAGAGTCCTCTCCTGCTGATGTTCAGGTGTATATCAGTATGTAGTGTCTCTACTTTAAAGAGTCCTCTCCTGCTGATGTTCAGGTGTATATCAGTATGTAGTGTCCTCTACTTTAAAGAGTCCTCTCCTGCTGATGTTCAGGTGTATATCAGTATGTGGTGTCTCTACTTTAAAGAGTCCTCTCTCTGCGATGTTCAGGTGTATATCAGTATGTAGTGTCTCTACTTTAAAGAATCATCTCCTGCTGATGTTCAGGTGTATATCAGTATGTAGTGTCTCTACTTTAAAGAGTCCTCTCCTGCTGATGTTCAGGTGTATATCAGTATGTAGTGGTCTCTACTTTAAAGAGTCCTCTCCTGCTGATGTTCAGGTGTAATATCAGTATGTAGTGTCCTCTACTTAAGAGTCCTCCTCCTGCTGATGTTCAGGTGTATATCAGTATGTCGTGTCTCTACTTTAAAGAGTCCTCTCCTGCTGATGTTCAGGTGTATATCAGTGTGTAGTGTCTCTACTTTAAAGAGTCCTCTCCTGTTGATGTTCAAGGTGTATATCAGTATGTCGTGTCTCTACTTTAAAGAGTCCTCTCCCTGCTGATGTTCAGGTGCATATCAGTATGTTCGTGTCTCTACTTTAAGAGTCCTCTCCTGCTGATGTCCAGGTGTATATCAGTATGTAGTGTCTCTACTTTAAAAGAGTCCTCTCCTGCTGATGTTCAGGTGTAATATCAGTATGTAGTGTCTCTACTTTAAAGAGTCCTCTCCTGCTGATGTTCAGGTGTTAAAAAGATGCAAGTTAAAAGTCCTTTATCAGTATGTAGTGTCTCTACTTTAAAGAGTCCTCTCCTGCTGAGGTTCAGGTGTATATCAGTATGTAGTGTCTCTACTTTAAAGAGTCCTCTCCTGCTGATGTTCAGGTGTATATCAGATGTAGTGTCTCTACTTTAAAGAGTCCTCTCCTGCTGATGTTCAGGTGTATATCAGTATGTAGTGTCTCTACTTTAAAGAGTCCTCTCCTGCTGATGTTCAGGTGTATATCAGTATGTAGTGTCTCTACTTTAAAGAGTCCTCTCCTGCTGATGTTCAGGTGTATATCAGTATGTAGTGTCTCTACTTTAAAGAGTCCTCTCCTGCTGATGTTCAGGTGTATTATCAGTATGTAGTGTCTCTACTTTAAAGAGTCCTCTCCTGCTGATGTTCAGGTGTATATCAGTATGTAGTGTCTCTACTTTAAAGAGTCCTCTCCTGCTGATGTTCAGGTGTATATCAGTATGTAGTGTCTCTACTTTAAAGAGTCCTCTCCTGCTGATGTTCAGGTGTATATCAGTATGTAGTGTCTCTACTTTAAAGAGTCCTCTCTCTGCTGATGTTCAGGTGTATATCAGTATGTAGTGTCTCTACTTTAAAGAGTCCTCTCCTGCTGATGTTCAGGTGTATATCAGTATGTAGTGTCTCTACTTTAAAGAGTCCTCTCCTGCTGATGTTCAGGTGTATATCAGTATGTAGTGTCTCTACTTTAAAGAGTCCTCTCCTGCTGATGTTCAGGTGTATATCAGTATGTAGTGTCTCTACTTTAAAGAGTCCTCTCCTGCTGATGTTCAGGTGTATATCAGTATGTAGTGTCTCTACTTTAAAGAGTCCTCTCCTGCTGATGTTCAGGTGTATATCAGTATGTAGTGTCTCTACTTTAAAGAGTCCTCTCCTGCTGATGTTCAGGTGTATATCAGTATGTAGTGTCTCTACTTTAAAGAGTCCTCTCCTGCTGATGTTCAGGTGTATATCAGTATGTAGTGTCTCTACTTTAAAGAGTCCTCTCCTGCTGATGTTCAGGTGTATATCAGTATGTAGTGTCTCTACTTTAAAGAGTCCTCTCCTGCTGATGTTCAGGTGTATATCAGTATGTCGTGTCTCTACTTTAAAGAGTCCTCTCCTGCTGATGTTCAGGTGTATATCAGTATGTAGTGTCTCTACTTAAAGAGTCCTCTCCCTGCTGATGTTCAGGTGTATATCAGTATGTAGTGTCTCTACTTTAAAGAGTCCTCTCCTGCTGATGTTCAGGTGTATATCAGTATGTCGTGTCTCTACTTTAAAGAGTCCTCTCCTGCTGATGTTCAGGGTATATCAGTATGTGAGTGTCTCTACTTTAAAGAGTCCTCTCCTGTTGATGTTCAAGGTGTATTCAGTATGTCGTGTCTCTACTTTAAAGAGTCCTCTCCTGCTGATGTTCAGGTGCTATATCAGTATGTCGTGTCTCTACTTTAAAGAGTCCTCTCCTGCTGATGTCCAGGTGTATATCAGTATGTAGTGTCTCTACTTTAAAGAGTCCTCTCCTGCTGATGTTCAGGTGTATATCAGTATGTAGTGTCTCTACTTTAAAGAGTCCACTCCTGCTGATGTTCAGGTGTATATCAGTATGTAGTGTCTCTACTTTAAAGAGTCCTCTCCTGCTGATGTTCAGGTGTATATCAGTATGTAGTGTCTCTACTTTAAAGAGTCCTCTCCAGCTGATGTTCAGGTGTATATCAGTGTGTAGTGGTCTTTACTTTAAAGAGTCCTCTCCTGCTGATGTTCAGGTGTATATCAGTATGTAGTGTCTCTACTTTAAAGAGTCCTCTCCTGCTGATGTTCAGGTGTATATCAGTATGTAGTGTCTCTACTTTAAGAGTCCTCTCTCTGCTGATGTTTCAGGTGTATATCAGTATGTAGTGTCTCTACTTTAAAGAGTCCTCTCCTGCTGATGTTCAGGTGTATATCAGTATGTAGTGTCTCTACTTTAAAGAGTCCTCTCCTGCTGATGTTCAGGTGTATATCAGTATATAGTTCTTTATCTTTCTCATACTGCCTGTGTTGCAGCACCTCTTTCCACCCTCTGTCTGGAACCAGATTAAAGACAGTATCACATGTATTGTTTTTCTCACAGTTATATCCGCTGCTATTACTTTGCGGTGAAGACGTTGATCACCATCGGAGGACTGCCGGACCCGACCACCGTCTTCGAGATCTTCTTCCAGCTCATCAACTACTTCGTCGGCGTCTTTGCGTTTTCCATCATGATCGGGCAGGTCAGCCATTAAACTCTTATTTCAGAATATTATTCATTGAATGAATAGAAGGGAATACAATCCTTAAAGATCAGTGGGTGCAGTGCTTTGTTACTCGCCACACAGCGGGTACATGTTCAGCATTACAAAGGGACAGAGAGACTTATGTATTTAATAAAGAGGCATATACAATTTAAAAAACGAATTACATTAACATGGTAAAAGTAGCAGCATTATGAAAACGCAAGATAGTTAAAAGCGATAAAAGTATTAAAGCAGCCATTGATAACATTGTAAAAGTAAAGTAGTAAACTAATGATAATGAGAATTATGATTACAAAATCATCCCTATCTTATTTTGAATCAATGTCGGTCAAAATAATTGCAGTAAAATATTGTTTTGAAATTGTGTAGCCCTAGATTTCATCTTCACGACTCGACTTTTTTTTTTTTAAACGGGATTATGAGTAGTGTGGATATTTTGTTCCTTCCCTTGGAGAAAAAGGTCGAGGCGTCATTCCCGTCTTCTCCGTCAGCACTACCCCTATAATAACAAAATGTATGACATGATGTATGTAATGTAAAATGATATAAATGTGTGTTTCTGTGATTTTGTCTCAGATGAGGGATGTGGTCGGGGCAGCGACGGCCGGAGAGAATTACTACCGAGCGACTATGGACAGCACGATGAAGTACATGAACTCTTACAACATCCCCGCACCCGTCCAGAACCGCATCCGCACCTGGTACGATTACACCTGGAAGAGCCAGGGCATGCTGGGTAAGATACATCATTACAAATGTACATGAGTAATAGCACAGCACAAGTATAAATGCAAAATATACTTTAAATATCAAAAGTTAAGTTAAATGTTACATATTTTTAGTTTGAATTATTAATACTGATGCATTTACATGTACACATTATTTGAATGTTGTAACTGTTTGCAATGGGGCTAATTTAAAAGTGTTTTTGAGTAACTATATGAGTTTACTACCTAAATAATCAACACATCAACCTTTTATACAAAAATAATGTCTAAAAAAAAGTATGCACAGTACCTCAAATTGCAGTAAAGTACTGCAGAAAGGAGCTTCAGGGTACTATTCAAGTACAGTACCTCATCATTATATTACTCCAATTGATGATTTTAGCAGTTTTATTTAAAGAAACTGAGATATACAGAAGTTAATGTGTCCCTAAACGTCTCGTGGTGCGTTCAGGGACATTGAGAGTGTTTGGATGTGTTCTCTGCAGATGAACAGGAGCTCCTGGTGCAGCTTCCTGTAAAGATGAGGCTGGACATCGCTGTGGACGTCAACTACGCCATCATCAGTAAAGTGGCCCTGTTCCAGGTCAGCAAACTTTAATAACATCAAAATAATACAATTCAATATTTAAAATGCTTTGTGACACCACGAAATAATTTCTGTTTCTGTTTCATGTGAACAAATTATTATAAATAAAATATGAAAAACGATTCCTTTTTTCATCAATTTTATTTGTCCATATTTATTTATTTCATTTGACTTTTTATAATTCAGCATAATTATTCCCAATTTAATTCAGGGGACTCTTTTATATTTCTATATTTCCATATGTATTTATTTATTTATTGAAGTATAATTTGTATCTATTTTCTCTGCCTTTAAGGGCTGTGACAGACAGATGATGTTCGACTTGCTGACGAGACTCAAATCTGTCGTCTACCTGCCCGGAGACTTCGTCTGTGTGAAGGTAACACACACCTGTGTGTGTGTGTGTGTGTGTGTGTGTGTGGTGTGTGTGTGTGTTGTGTGTGTGTGTGTGTGTGTGTGTAGTGTGTGTGTGTGTGTGTGTGTGTGTGTGTGTGTGTGTGTGTGTGTGTGTGTGTGTGTGTGTGTGTGTGTGTGTGTGTGTGTGTGTGTGTGTGTGTGTGTGTGTGTGTGTGTGTGTGTGTGTGTGTGTGTGTGTGTGTGTGTGTGTGTGTGTGTGTGTGTGTGTGTGTGTGTTGTGTGTGTGTGTGTGTGTGTGTGTTGTGTGTGTGTGTGTGTGTGTGTGTGTGTGTGTGTGTGTGTGTGTGTGTGTGTGTGTGTGTATTAACCTGTGTGTGTGTATTAACCTGTGTGTGTGTTCTGCAGGGGGAGATAGGGCGTCAGATGTACATCATCCAGCAGGGGGCGGTGCAGGTGGTGGGGGGTCCTGACCTGCAGACAGTATTCGTCACCATCAGAGCGGGCGCTGTGTTCGGGGAGATCAGGTCAGAGCAGCTTCGTGTCTGCGTCACAGTAATGTCCTGTAATTAAATCCTGTTAACTTGTTAAAGACACGGTACAGGGTGTGAGTGTTTTCAGAGTGCAGAGATCAGTAGACCAGAGTCCACACAGTATCAGAAGGCTTTATTTATCCCGGGGGAAATAGCTTGGTGTATGTGGTATTTCTGTGTTGTTCCCTGAAGGCAGCATCTCTCTGGTCCAATGGGAATCTCCGTGTCAAACAAACGTTTATGATTCTTTTAGTTCAGTTCGCAAACATTTCCCAAATTGGGATCACTAATATACTTCTTATCTTCTTATCTTATCTTATATAAATAATCATAAATTATATAAAATGATAATTGATGAAGAGCATGTTACTGACTCTTGGACCTTTTCTATAGTTAACATCACATTTTGTTTTGACAGACAAACCCTTCAGGCCTTATATTTTGAGAAAGGGCAACGGACATTCTATATTATTTTCGGACACTCGAGAAAATAATTATTTAGTTTTGATGTGCATAAAACACTGAGAGTGTTCTATATTAATATTAGCCTGCTTAACCTACAGTATGCTAACTTTTGTTAACAAGTTAATATAAAATGGTTCAGAAATGAGTCCTAAAACCAGAGCCTAGCCTCGTCTGGAAGTCAATGGTTTCCTGAATGTGTTTTTGGTTGTTTTGTTCCACGACATAAAATACGTCAGTAAATACCCCACTGGTGGATTTAGAAACTGAGGTTTCTAACAAGAGTCTAAATGAGACGACTAAACATCTTCGAGCCCAACATTTTGTGGCGGGAACCAGGGAGATGTTGCCTTCAGGGTCCACTACAGAAATACTCGGTGCTCTGAAAATCGATGTTCAGTTTTCTCTGAAACCTGCTGACCCCCTCCTCTGTGATTGGTCAGTTTGCTGGCGGGAGGCGGTGGGAACCGGCGCACGGCCGACGTGAGGGCGCACGGCTTCGCTAACCTCTTCATCCTCGACAAGAAGGACCTGGCAGAGATCCTGGTGCACTACCCCGAGTCACAGAAACTCCTCCGCAAGAAGGCCAAGTAAGAGAGTCCTTTCTCTGAAGTGCTGCCTGGCTCATGTCATGGGTCACTGTGCAATAAAGCTTATAATACTTACATACAGAAAAAGGGAAGCTGCTAAACTGTGTTCTTCATGTTAGACGATCAGAATCAGTATTCCTTTAGCGGGGAAATATAAGTGTCAAGCAGGTTAACCTGTTAAGCCCGAGAGACCCCGGTACCGGGGCACTGCCGCAACATCTTGCAGGAAACAGTGTCTGAGGGCATGTTCATTTAATAAACTATGAATGTTTTATATCCATGTAACAGGAAGAAACTCATCTAACTGATCTTTTTTTTTTTTCAAAAGAAAACCCACAATGCTAACACTGAGCCTCTGAATTAGCAACGAGCAAAAAATGCTAACAGATTACTGCACCGAAAATCACTCACAAAACCTTATTATTTATCTCTTCTCCACATCCATGACATCGATTCACATCGTGAGGTGACACAGAATCGATAGGTACCCTCATTATCACTGAATTATACAAATTTGCGACGTTATAAACAAAAACAGACATCAAAACAGGTGACGCTAGGTAGCTAAAAATGCTAACAAGGTTACCTTGGCTCTGTAGTCTCTCCAAAGTGGTCTTCAATGGCATTAAAACGATAAAAACGCTGCTGAAGTTAATCCATAGGTTAATCCAATGTGTCTGTGTCCCTTTGAAATGATTTCTGATAATCCATAATCAAACAGACGGATAATCCATGCTATTCCGTTTCTAGATGTCAGAGCTAGAGTGTAGCTTCACTCTAATGCAAAATTACATGTGCAAAGCCCCCACCTTTTTTTTTCACAATGAGTGTGTGTGGGGGACTCCCCCTTCGATTCTATTGGCTCTAACGGTCAGAAAGAGGTGTCAACCATCAAAATCGAGCAAGGGGGGCCAGAGATATGGAAAATCCACCCAAATGACCCCAGAAGTGGTTTATTTTTGCTAAAAAAGGTCAAATGTCACTTGTTTTGCATCAATCTTGATACAGGGTACTTATTATATGTTGTACTTTGGATTCCTAAAGCTTTTAGTCTACTAACCCATCATCCAAGGGTAGTTTTCACTATAAGTAAAAAATCATTTTTGGACGGACACTATAATTTACAGTTTTTTACTATGTTCAATCTGAATTTTCTTTAAAATAAAAAACATCTATATTGATTCTGACTTTTCTACATCCAACTCACAGGTTTATCATTACTTTGAGAAAAAAGATTATTAATTTAACCCTTTTAGAAGGGAAGATATGGTCATTTGTTCTGGGAATGTCATTTTCGAGCCTGAGACCTGAAAAACAGGCTCAGGGCTTAACAGGTTAAAAAAGGCAAGCAATGATAAAGCTAAGCTAACGTATTAATATAGGTTAAGTAATATAAGACAAATAAGAAGACAACCATGGTGGGTAGCCGCAATTTAAAACCTAAGTGACATAATATGGTGGTGAGACATTATAACTAATGTATGTTTTTCACATAACAGTGATTATTGACACAGTAAAACTGGTCTATTTTGTACGTTCCAGGTTTATTAACAGTGTAATCAGTCTGTATTGTGTGACCATGCTGCTTCACCTGAATGTACAGCTAGTTTCAAAGATACAAAGGCTTTTCTGAAACTTGCACAGCCATTAGTCGTAGATGATTGAAGATCTTGGGACTCCTCCCCGTAGATCCTCTGGACAGGATTAGTCCGTTGGTAATCCTCTCTCAGGTGGCCTGCGTTAGAGCTCAGATCCATCATGGAGCTGCAGCAGAGCGGGTAGATGTGCTGGACCTGGAGCGGGTGTTGGTACAGACCTCCAGGGATCTAAATGTCTTTGTGTGGCTGGTTGTGTAGAAAGTAAGGTGTAAATATATGTTCTTAACAGCAGCAGAGTATGAGTTTATTGGACCATTGGCATAGAGAATTAAAGTTGTGTTGTGTCTTTGTAATAGTTTGTGTTTCTGTAGTTGTTGTGTGTCTCTTTCTACTGACTTTGTGTCTTCTTGTGGTTGCCCCTTTTCGGAGCTGTCGTTTTAGGTATTTTTCTGTTTTATGTGTCTCTTTGTAGATTTGATGTCGCCTTGTAGGTTCTTTGTGTCTCGTTGTGCTTGTTAGCCTTTTCATAGCTCTTGTGGGTCTCTCGCTTATGTTGTGTTTCTTTCAGGTCGTTTAGTCTCCCCCTTGTTTCGTGGCTTTTGAAGTCATTGTGTGTCTCTGAGCCGTCGTTTGTTGTCTCTATGAGGTTGTTGGTCGTCTCTTTGCGGTTGTGATGTGCTGGACCTGGAGCAGGTTTTGTGTCTCTTTCTACTGACTTCTACTGTTTTGTGTCTTCTTGTGGTTGTGTTGCCCCTTTTCGGAGCTGTCGTTTTAGGTATATTTCTGTTTTATGTGTCTCTTTGTAGATGTTATGTCTCTTTGAAGTCATTTTATGTCTCCTTGTAGTTTCTTTGTGTCTCGTTGTGGTTGTTAGGCTTTTCATAGCTCTTCTGGGTCTCTTTGTGCTGATGTTGTGTTTCTTTGAGGTCTTTTTGTGTTTCTTTGAGGTTGTTGCGTGGCTTTTTGAAGTCATTTTGAGAGTGAGGTTGTTTGGTGTCTCTTTGAGGTCATGTTGTTTCTCTATGAACACCTATTGTGTCTCTTTAAGGTTGTATTAGTATTTTGTGTCTCTTTTTAACCATTTTGTGTCTCTTTGTAAAGATGTTGTGTGTTACGTTCTCTGTATTTGTGGTTGTAATGCCCCTTCTCGTAGTGGTTGTGGGTGACATATCTGTGTCTGAACCTGCATTATTAAATGTTTGTGTTTCTCCTTTATATCCTCCTTCCACCCGTCCCTGTGTCTCTGTGTTTGTGCAGGATGATGCTGTCCAAGGACAAGAAGCCAGAAGAGAAGGTCAAAGAGGTCGTCCCGCCCCGAAAGGAAACCCCCAAAATGTTCAGGGCGGCGCTGAAAATGTCGCAGCAGCAAGGACTCCAGGGATCCTTCTCCGCTCTGAGGAAGACCTTCAAAACCTCTGAAGGCACCTCAGAGGTGAGACAGCATGACAGCTTTATATATATAACTTTACTTAGTCTTCCCTTTAGTGTTTACTTCCTGTCTGTCATCTTCTTCTGTTCCCTTTAGTGTTTACTTCCTGTCTGTCTTCTTCTTCTGTTCCCTTTAGTGTTTACTTCCTGTCTGTCTTCTTCTTCTGTTCCCTTTAGTGTTTACTTCCTGTCTGTCATTTTCTTCTGTTCCCTTTAGTGTTTACTTCCTGTCTGTCTTCTTCTTCTGTTCCCTTTAGTGTTTACTTCCTGTCTGTCATCTTCTTCTGTTCCCTTTAGTGTTTACTTCCTGTCTGTCTTCTTCTGCTGTTCCTTAGAGCGTCCTTAGCAAAGGTTTGCTATCGATAAATAGCATATTGTTAGGAAAAGATCACTGTTCACAGACTTGAGCTTCAATCTCAGGATCCATGTATCTGTGATCCTCTCCAGAATGGAAGTAGTCATCACATACAGAGCATCAACTAGTTCCTGAACAGTGTCCTTCACATGCTGATATCCAAGAGAGGGAGTTACACAGTCACAAGATGGAGGAATAGAAAGCAGTATTCAATGTTTACTTCAGATTAGCTCCACGTCAGAAATGAGCATGCTTGTCATATGTCTATCTCCATAGAGGCTGAATCATCATGTTCATCACATAGCTATCATATGCCTCAAACAGTCCTGATGCTCTTCTAGGTAATCATACATCCTGTCATGTTCACAGCTACAGTTGGGATACCTTTGTTAGCATGTTACTCTCATGTTGGAGGAGTACATTCAGGATTTTACCAACACTTTCTATACTTCTTTCTGCAGGTTTCTCAGCTGCCCCCCCCCTCCCCGGTTCACCGGCGCTGTCCGATCCCTCGCGTCACGGTGCAGGACGGAGAGGACGCCGTGTCGGAGACGCCCTCCATCACCATCCGGATGACCCCCCGGCTGCAGGGCGAGGAGACGCTGTCTGTGGAGGTGCCCAGGAACGCCTGAGGCAAAGACTCTGCTTCCCACAATGCATTTCAGCAACCTTCAGGGAAGAGACGTGGCATGCAGACCGCGAGAGGAATACTACAAACCCCAGTGCATTATGGTCTCTGTGTGCAAACTGCTCTCTGCTTCTTCTTCCTTTTTTGGCACCTTTTGAAGTAAAACTGATGAATTGATGGAAAATCATCTAAAGGGTGTTTTACTTTTCTTAACTTACTGAATTTGTGGGCGCTTCTCATCGGCTCATTTGATAAAAGATGAATTAAGGAAGGATTACTTTGTGAAATTAGCGTCAGTTTTTCAATTGATGCATTCATTTTCTGCATTTAATGATTTAGTGATAAACTGAACATCAAATGTTAATATCAAAGACTGCTTGTTATTTGTTGGGGTAAATGAACCACCGTCATCTCTTACATTTATGATTTTTCTTTTGTAAATCAACCACTTTGATCTCAGTGAATATCCAGGTGTGTTCTCGTACAAATCAGACTTCATCTTGATCATTTGCTACCTTGCTTACAGAGCACATTTTAGATATTCTTCTCATATATTTCTGGGTTTCTCTACATAAATCTACCTCTAAGATCTCAGAGTATAGACTTGTATATGTTTCTCATTCATTTACCACGTTCAAATCAGGGAATACTTGTAAATGTACCAAAACAACCTCAGAGAATATAGAAGGTTTTTTTCTCATAAATATTTGAGTTATTTTTCCGACTTTAATCTGTAAGAATATTCAAGTGTTCGTCTCGTAAATGTACTTCTTTTATGTCAAGGAATTGTCCCGTTGTTTCTTGTAAAATGTTTACTTTAACCGTGTTACTGCCCCTCCCCCAATCCGTAAATCGGCATTTTATATTTCACGTAAATTGGCCCGAATTTTGCGTTTCAAGAGGTCACATCTTCTTCCAGGGTCAATGCTTATTAACAACTTTTCTAACTCATCTTGCTCATGTTACATGGACAGCAATTAATGAAAACAATCTATTACAGCTGCATGTAAGCAAAACGTTGATATGCAGTTTGTGAAATAATAAAATGTTTTTTACCAAACTTTAATTTTCGTCCCTCATGTTTCTGTTTAATATGACGTAAACTCGGCAAGTCGCATACCAACATTTTCATCGACCTTTAGAGTTGTTCAGACTTTAGCTTACGAGTCAAAAACACATTTTCCTATTATTTTGGCACCACTTGAACGCAGCATTAACATCAAAGCATGAATGTAATGCTGAATCAGCAGTAGGTTTGTTTACCTAAAAACAAATGAAAGAGAGCACTTCAGTTCCATAGGAACGTCATTTTGTAAGAAACAGGGTTTGATCAACATGTTTATGAAACTCCATTTCCCAGAATCCCTTCTGTTCTCAGCACTGTGGCCTTCTTTGAGGTGATTATATTCCAGCAGAAGCTTCATGTTTGAAAGTGGTGATGAGGATGTAGACGTATACTTTTTTGATTTTATTGCACATAATTACATCTGCATCATCTGTAAATGTTCGAATAATAAATAAATAATAATAATATATAACATAAGTGCTCTGTAGTGCGGATAAGATCGATTTCTTCTGTTTCCTGTTTCCACTGCTCAATAACTAACGGACTGATCTCTGATGGCTTTTAATGATTTCATTCTGCTGTATCCAGGTCTGTGTGTGTGTGTGTGTGTGTGTGTGTGTGTGTGTGGTGTGTGTGTGTGTGTGTGTGTGTGTGTGTGTGTGTGTGTGTGTGTGTGTGTGTGTGTGTGTGTGTGTGTGTGTGTGTGTGTGTGTGTGTGTGTGTGTGTGTGTGTGTGTGTGTGTGTGTGTGTGTGTGTGTGTGTGTGTGTGTGTGTGTGTGTGTGTGTATCAATTCAGATTCACCATCAGCAGGGTTTATTTCACAGTCAGTGTAGAAGGGTAAGTTTGTGTGTTTTTTGTTGCTTTTTTTATTATAGAACTTATTTTTATTTAAAATGGTTCATGAAACACGGTTGTTGTGCTTTTTTTAAATTATTAATATTATTAGTAAATATTTATAAATGTCCGAAGTGGCTTTTTTTGTGGCATACAAAAAAGGATGTATGTTCTGTACAACACAAGACAATGAAAAGCAGCAAATGATTGCATTGAAGATTCTTAAAACCCAAATACTTTGAGAATGAATATCTGCTTCTGATGACGCTCCAGACCAAACTCTCCCTTCAGATTCAGAGACTTTCAGAAGGAGGTTAAGATGATCTGCAGCAGATGGAGTTAACGCCTCTAATTAAGCTAACAACGTTATTAGTATCAGCCCGGCAGCTTGTGACTGATTATCCTTCATAGGAGCCTCCTGTCTGCTGAGGAACTAAAAAGTGAAATAAAATCGCAACTGTTCTCTGTTTTTGGTTCTTTAACTGCCTCATGATTACTTTTACTTTTCATATTTTAAGTGCATTTCGCTGATAATGATTACTTTTTTTTCCAGTCACCATAGTGGATACCAAAAGCTTTTACTTTTATGTAATTTATTGCTGACCCTAAAACTAATTTGCGCTTTGTGTTTGTAAGCCCCGCTAAAACAATCAAGGCATTTATTAATCAAATGTTCAATTGTTAATAAACTCAAAATAATACCACGAGATGTCTGTATGAATAATAACAGGAGTGGATAAGAAACAAGACTTCGTTCACATTATTTTCTAAAGATCTTCTGTAAATTCAGTTAAAATCTACACTTATTCTTTGGAAAGTTGACTTGTTACAGATTGGGAAAAACAGTAAGTGTATAAAAAAACAAAAAAACTGAATGTCTACGACAACAAAACATTAAAATATGAATAGAATATCTCTCACCTTAGCCATAGAGACGTGCCTCTAGATGTCATGTTTGTTTTGTTTACATATGTATGTTTGTATGTCTTTGGGTTCATCAAAAATGAATTATTATTTGTATAAACCTGCAGGTATGTTGCAGTGCCTGCCGCTAGGGGGCGCTGTCTCTCTGAGCTGCAGGTCTGCAGACACAGGGCCTCACGTGTTTAGAAATGCAGGAAAAGCTTCAGGAAACTCTCATTGTGGAGTCTGAGCCGAAGAGGAAGACAACATGAGAAAAGAAAATAAGAAAAGGAGGGAAAATCAAAACAATGTATAGCTTCCTCATCACCGCAGAATAGAAACAGAAGAAGAAGAAAGACACGAGGTGCTGGTAACAAAGGGAAACATTTTACAATATTCTGCTAATGAAACCAACACACAACTTTAAATGATGCTACACTGATTAACAGGCATACATTAATATATTAATAATACTATAATTCAACAGCACTAACCTGCACTGGCGGATGGATACGCTGTTAATCCTCATAAAAATAGATCCAGCAGATAACTGCCTCGTTAACAACAAACTGCTGCTTTTACACTTTTATTAAAAGTTAAACAAACAAGATATTATGTGTATTGTAAAAGAACAACATGTACACATTATGGAAATATTGATAATGTTAGAAAAATATGTAGAACAAGATGTACCCAATTCATTCTTAAATATGAGAAGGTTATTAGTTAATAAAATCAAGCTGTATACATAATATGGTTTATTAATTCTGACAACATTTGTGCAAAATAGAGCTTTACACAGATGATTGTAAGTTGATGAATAAGCTGTAAACATTTTCATAACAATCACACAGTGTTGGGAAAATATGTTCCTAGGCCCATAACTGTGAGCCAGTGTATCAGTTTGTACTGACCTCACTGAGCACAGGCACCTGTAGCTTGGCTGCTGTGCTCTCAGTGTGTTGTCTCCCTGTTCCTGCCTGTTGGCGTCAGCTGATAGAGGTGTTATGGTTTTATCTTGTTATGCACAATGTTGATTATTCTCTCAGAACCAGCTAAACACATGGGTCTGGGGTAGAGATCATCAGAATTGGTTGTGGCATCTCAACCGTGTGGTCAGATCGTGGCTCAGAACATGCCGGGTGAATTCTCCGGCCGAAGCTCCAAATAAACCGTCAGTGTTTGCCATCAAAGCTCCAGCTCTCCTCGTGTCTCTCTGAGTCCTGTTTCCAATTGCTTCAGAAGTTTCCATCACACTACTGATATGTCGGAGTAATATTTGTACCAAAAAAAAGACACTTATGCACATGACACATGACAATTATGAAATACTAGAATAATACTAGCGCAAAATAATATGTCCTTTAATACTATAGATAGTATAACAGCCTAATATTTCAAACATAAGTATAATTTTTGATATCATAAATGAGACTTTGATATGATAAATGAGAATACAATTATTGCAAAAATAAGCTGTACACATTTGAATAATAATATAATAATAATAATACATGGTATTTATATAGCGCTTTTCCTGGTGCTCAAAGCACTTAATATTAATTTGATTATGGACATTCCAATAAAGCATCTTTTAATCTGAATTTAATAATGACAATATGACAATATGTTTCCAAAAAATAACATGTAAACATGATCATTGAGCATGATATAAGTGTAATAAAGGACACACACAGTTTACATCTAGTCAATATAGCTTAATATGTGTGTACAGAATGTGTAGTTTAATGACATACAGGTGTTTGCAGGAACACATATCACTCTCATGTGTTGGTCACATGTTTCCCTTCCTTTGAATCCCGGAACATTTTGCTCATGTGGTCCGAGACCGCAGATCCAACCCGGTCTATAAATGTTCTGATCCTCCCCGCCCATGCGCAGATGAATCCCCAAACGTCCGACAGTCCGTGAAGGCAGCATCAGCTCAGACAGGCAGAAGTGACTCCGCGGCGGAGACTCAGAAACATCCGGAGAAAACCCCAGAAACCGGCTGATAACGGGCAGGATTTAACTCTAAACTCACTCTGGAACATCTGAAGTCTTCCCCCGAGTGACACTAGAAGGATTTGGTGCCAGGAATAAGCGTGTAGAGGCGGGGGAAGAGGAGGGAGAGGAGTCGCTGCTTCGGACCGGAGGTGAGGAACACTTTGGCGTCTTGAAACTTTGTATCTCTTTTAA